TCGTTCCAGCACCAGGCCCAGCCAAGGACTTCGGTCAGCATTCATGTCTGAGCAGAGGATGGACCCAGTGGCAGTGGCCCCCCTGCCATCTCAGGACAGGAAGCAAAGACTCAGGGAGCTGGGCGGAGACTTGGGGGAGCCTCATTTTACAGATGAGGAGCGCAGGCCTAGGGATGGCGGCGACACTCACTGAGCTGGGCGGGGGCTGGCAGCTGAACTCAGGGGTCTTGACTCCCAGTCCTGGGTTCTTGAAACACCTCTCGGCTGCCTGATGACATCTGCATGACAGGTTTAGGGGGGGCAGGAAGCGTGGGTGGGGGCACGAGGGTACAGAACGCCCGAGGGCTCTGGGCCTGTGCCTCCCGGGGCTGTGGATGAAGACGCCGTTCACAGCAAGCTCATGGCAACGAGGCCACTGACACGCCAACTGCGTGGGCTTCCATGGCTGGGAACCCTCTGCAGTTTGGGGTCGTTGACAGGGGACTTGGGGCCATTGTACACGCTGGTCTTACTACGAGCAACACCCCTTCTCAGCTCCCTGGCCTGGTTAACATCTCCTCTCTCCCAAGAAACCTCTCGGGCCCCAGGTCTGGGTGAGGCACCCCTCCTTTGGGCTCCCCAAACTCTGGAGCCCCCTGAGCACCCTATCGCCCAGCACAGAGTTGGGACTTTGGGAACAGTTGTTGAGTCACGGGATGCAGTTTGGGTCACTGAGTGTGTGTGGGAAGTGCCGATTAGAGCCCCTCCCACCAAGGTCAGCGCCCATCTGCTCCTTAGTCTCCCTCCCATCCCTGCAAAGGGCTGTGGTCCCCAAGCCCACACTCCAGATGCCAAACCAAGCTGGCCTCTCCAGAATCGCCTCCTTCCTACCCCAGCTGATTTTAGAACCATCCCCCCAGCAATCTGGCTCTGTAAAGCTGTGTTTGGGCCGTTCACAAAGATCGCTAGATCCCTCCCCTAGGACTCCGGGCTCTTCCCCTAGGACTCCAGGTGGTGAGAGTTTTAAAAAAAAGGCAGTGTTTAATCACTGACTTTTTTTTTTTAATGGTTTCACGGTGACATGAAATGCTTTTGTTTCCTGATAGAAAAAGGCATGTTTCAGATAAATTATTAACCAAAAAGAATTGGCCATGAGCAAGAAATCCTTCATTTACCCTGGAGACGAATGCACAGACAGCTGGCTTGCACGGTGCTGTCTCTTACAGCCCCCGGCAGAGGTCAGCCCTGGGAGCAGGGAGGGACACTGGCTCTCCTACAGCAGGTGGAACTCCTCCTCTCTGCTCAGCCTCCCTCCAGGTGGGTTCTCGGAGTGCTGGGCTCTGTTTCTGCCTCCATTTGACGGTTAGCATTGAACATTTGTCCTGAGGATGCACTTTCTGGATTATGAGGGTCTTGGGCAGAGGGCTGAGTCTTATTCCCTGGTCCCCAGGTCTTGCCCAGAGCAGGAGGCAGATCACGGTGCTGAGGCAGAAAAGGGACTGTGATGCCATCTCCATTTACACCCCCATCCACCCTGTGCTCCCAGGCATGGATGCCTGAGACTGCACCTCCTGGGCTCCCCAGTTTCTTGGGTTTGCCAACGGAAGTCACCCTCGGGAGGCGGGAGAACCTGGAGAGGGGGTGGGGCATGTCTTCCCCCTCTCTTCCCTCTTTGGGGCTGCATCTCTGGCAGATGAACCACAGCTGCAGATGGGCCCCTCCGGAGAGTCTCTCTCTCTCTAGGTTCCCGTGACACCTTCCCTTGCTCTGGTCCTATGGGGCTAACCGCTCCCACTGCTGCTAGTTGTGGAGTGCTTCAACAGCTCTCCTGGCTCCCTGCACCAGCCCACACCCCAGGAGGAAGGGGTCCACACCCAAACTCCTGGCAGAAGGCCTACTCACCCTCTGGGAGGGAGCCTCCCCTCCCCCGACTCTTGAGGGAGCCCTGTCCACACCCCTGGAGGAAGCCGGGCCACATCCCTGGAAGGGATCCACTGAGCCACCTGAGGTATGTCTTTCCAGGCCCCTAACAGACCCTGGGACAGAGCTCAGAACCTGTGGAAGGGGACAGAGGGCCGACAGGAGGCCCCTCTGGCTGTTCGGAGGGGAGGGGAGGGTGGCGCCCCACACGCCTTCCTGGGAGACCCCCGGCCCCTCTGAAGCTAAGTCCAGCATGCCCCAGCTGGCTGACACGGCCAGTCAGACATATTAATGGGAGTTTGTTCTCCAAATATGCTCCCTTTGTCCTCCTCTTGTTGAAGCAGGCAGTTCTGCAGAAGTTTGGGGCAGACAGGGAGACAGAATTGACCGTGTCTTTAGGAAGAGCCTTAACTTATTATTATAAAAAGATGCTCTGCCTGTCTTTGAGGGGAAGGGGAAGTGGGGGGGGGCGTTGTTGAGGGGACTAGTGCCCCACTTTTTGGTAGTACCCAGGGGGGTCCTGCACACCCTCCCTCAAAACCCTACCATGCCTCCCAGAGCACTGAGTCCCAGGCAGGCTGCTCAGCCTGGTGGGACACACGCCTCCCCTGTCTCGCTCATGGCGCCCTCCAGCCTGATAGCCCACGTCACAGGGTCCACCTGGCGCCCTGGTGCTTTTGCTCACATGGGTGCCCTTGCCAGGAATGCCTTCCCTGCTCTGATTCTTAAAATCCTCCTCCCGTTGCAGTGGCTCTCAGCTCAAATGTAGTACCAGCCTGATCAGGGCTGACAGTGACTCTCTCAGGGTGCCCACAACAGGCTCCTCCCACAGCCTCGTCGCCACCTGCCTCTGCCACCCGCCTCATCAAAGACCATTCACACATCTGCTCCCACGGCCCTGCCATCAGGTGGGCAGCCCGTGGGCACAGCCTGGGTCTTACCTGTCTCTGTACTCACAGAGCCTGTACACACAGTAGGTGCCCACAAAACACTTGGGAATTGGACTGGTGTGTCCCCTGGGAGACTCCAGCACATCCGCCTTGATTTCCAAGGCCAGGTCTGCTCCTGAATTATAGGGTCTTGGGACCTTTCTGGCTGTTTGTCCTTCTGACCTCCGAGGGCACAGACACAGCCCACCACACCCCCTCCCCAGGCAACCCTGAGGAAGGGCAGACAGGAAGGGTGAGGTCTGTTCTCAGCTCAGTACCAGAGTGGAACTCATCAGTAACTGATACGGAGCTGTGGGCAGGGCTGGGCTTTGGAATCGCAGGTGCAAATTCTGACTCCAATGCTCCCTGGTTGTGCCACCATGGACAGCTCCCTGAACCCTTGTGAACCTCAGTATCCTCATCTGTAAAATGGAGCTGATTGGGAAAAGATGAGGTGAGATGAACTGAGACAATGTTGGTGAAGAAATGAGCCCAGGGCTTGGCTGAGGTTATTCCCGTTATTTATTTGTTTGTTTATTCCTGTTTTTGGAGATTGCTTTGCAGCATGAGTGTTGGGGCAGAAAGGGCTCTGGCTGGGTGGCAGGTCGCAGGGCATGGCCTGTCCCTCGTGGAGGTGCAGCACCTGGGTCCTGCACCCGCACCCCCGTCCCACCATGTCTTGCCTCTTCGGCCCAGTCCCCAGGACACTCCCAGGCCGTGGGCTTGACGTGTCCCCTCACCCTGCGTGCCTGACCATGCACTTATTTAAGACTTTAACTTGATATTTTACTCTTTATGCTTTTGAATTACTAAACTGAAATCACATAGCACAGCCAATTAAAAGGGTACAGTTTAATATGAGTATTTTAGGTGTTGTGACTGTTCTTAATGTAGATACTCTAACTTTGGGCCTTAAGGAATTTTTTAAAAACTTTCTTAGAAATATTAAGAACAATCCCTATTATCCTTTAGTGTTTTGCAGTATTTCTCTTTGTCTCTTAACTCTATCTTCCCCCAAGGTCCCTGTGCTAGGGAGGCCATTTTTTGGAGGCTTGAGAACACTGGAAATCAAGGGACCTGGCTGGAGCTGTTATGTTATAACTCCAGGGGGCGCCATCCACACCATGGCCTACTCGGCCATACTTAGGGTCCAGGACACAGCCCAAACCTCCTCAGACTCCAGCAATAGCCACACTGTGCAGCAAATACCAACTCGGCTAGGGGATGGTGCCTCGTAACCTCTTTTGAAAGGCAAAAAGACATGGTAGTTACAGAAATGACAGCGAATGGTACTGCAAGATAGTTTGCTGTTTGGATCATTCATGACTTTACTGGAACACTCCTATTCATCCTTCAAAACCCAACTTAGGTGTCACAATCACTGCAAACCTTCTCTGAAGCATCTCAACCTCTCTCTTCTCCCAAGAGAAGCATTGCTCCCTCCTCTGTCATCCTTCTTCCTCTGTCTGCAACTATTGCAACAACAAGCTGTGCAGTCCTTAGTGAGCACTTCCTGTATACAGTACACATATTGTGTATACTGTTTACAGCAGGCACCTCACCACTCCTCAGAACAGTATAAGGTTGCTATTCTTTTCTCTCATTTTACAGATAGGGACACGGAGGGCCAGAGAGGTCATGTGATTTCCTCCTGGTCACACAGCTCGAACTGGAGCCTGAATTTAGATCTGACTCCAAAACCCAGTCCCCACTCCAAACTAGCATAGCGCCTCCCTCCAGTGACTCCATCACCTGGCCTGCACAGATTATGTCCATCCTCCTAGGCCTTGAGTGAGCGCCCAGTGGGGGGCCTACGACTCACAGGTAGGGTCGCTTTATACTACACTGGGCCTGACATATAATTGGTGCTCATCAAATGCTTGCTGAACTGAATTCCCTAAAAATGATGACGGTATAATGTCTGTGAGCAACTTTAAAATATTGCAGCAAAGAAAAAGCTAAGAGGAAAAGTTGAAGAGCTATAGCAAATATTAGCCAAATCTTGATAACTGTTGAATCAGGGTGACGGTAGATGGACGTCCATGGCACATCCTCTCGGCTGCTTCTATGCTTAATAATTTTTATAATAAAAAAAACACACAATGGGGGTGGGCAGAGGAGCCCCAAGCCCAGCTGGGGTCCCCTCAGGGCTCAGAGCCAGTGGGCACTCACCTTTTTATGGCTTTGTAGCAAATGATGACAAGCACAGTGAGAAACACCAGGGAGGCACAACATACCGCGATGATGATCACCATCCCTGACCACCAGCTTTCCTCAGCAGGGCACGAGGTAGAGTTGGGAGCTGAAAGAGACAGGAGCAGCCTGAGTCTCCCCTGGATGAGCAGGTGCTGGCCGGCATCAGAGATGGACAATCGTGGGTGACACCAACGGTGGCCATCCATTGCCTAGATGAAGGCTCTCTGACCTGTCCTGCTGTCCCCACCCCCACTCCGGCAGCAGGTGACATCATGGCTGGCCCCCAGCCAGGCGGCGTGCTCCAAGCAGGGGTTAAGCGCCGTGCCACGGGCCATCCATCCTTCCTTGGCATGAGCTAACTGACAGCAGGGTCAGGTTTAATTTCCCATGAAAAATAACAGAACATCTCATTCTCTCAGTTGAGGCATTAAATCTGCTTCCTCTGCAGGTGGGGGTGGGGAGCAGGGCTCACGGGGACACTGCAAGAGAAAGGAGAGAAAGGGAGGTTTCAACAGCAGTTCTTAAGCTAATTTCTTGAGGGGCAAGCTGTCTCCCTTCTTGGATTTGGCCCATGTGGTGGGTAACTGCCGCCATCTCAGCTTGCACGGGGTGGCCAAAATTTGGAAGAGTCCGTCATTGACAAAGCGTCTGACACTGGGTGTTCCAGGACCCCTTTGTCATGATTCAAGCCCTGGGGTCCTTGGGGTGAACCTGTCCTCCCCCTTGGCACAGGCTGTGTGGGGTGAATAAGCGCAGGTGTAGAGAAGGCTCACAACGAAGCCATTCACTCTTCTCTGAGAAAAGCAAACATCACATAGCCCCATCCCAGAGGCCCCAGAAGACTTGGACACAGCTGGAGGGACACAGGAAAAGAGAGAAGGAGGGAGGGAGAGAAGGGGGAGGGGAAGAAAGAAAAGGGAGAAAGAGGGAGGGCAAGAGAGAGGGGCTGTTGGTGTGGGATGGATGGATGGTTGGATGGGTGGATGGAAAGATGGATGGATATGCAGACACGACTAGCTTAGGGCAGGTCTTCAAGACACGTGAATACATGCAAAAGTATCAAAACTATGCCCTAGACCCTGCGCCCACTTAAAAATAGATACCTTGAGGGGTACAACAGTATGTGGGGAAAAAGTGAATGATTTCCTAAAAGATACTCTGGATAGCTTCATTATTATTATTATTGTCGCTGTTGTTATAATTATCAAGGTGTAATTCACATATAGTGAAACGCACCCATCTTAAGTGTGCAGTCTGATTGGCTCTGACAAATGCTTGCACTAGTGTAAGCCACGCCTCTATTGCCACAGAAGAGTTCCATCACCCCAGGGTGTTTCCTTGGGCCTCCTTCTGGTCAATCCCCACCCTGGAGGCAACCACTTATTCTGCCCTCTAAAATCATAGATTACATCTGCTTGATCTTGACATTCACATAAATGGAATTCTGCAGTGTGTGTTTTTTCTTTGCTTCCTTTATTTGGCAAAGTGCTTTTGAGATTCATCCATGTTGTTGCATGTTTCAACATCTCCTCCCTTTTTATGGCTGAGTAGCATTCATTAGATGAATATACCACAATTTGTTTATCTGTCCACCTGTTGACGGATAACTAGGCTGTGTCCGGGTTTTGACTTTCGTGAGTAAAGCTTCTAAACATTCACGCACATGTCTTGGCATAAATGCGTTTTTGTACTTCTCTTGAGAGACATCTAGGGGTGGGCTCACTGGGTCCTATGGCGTGTGTATGACTCTTTCTGGAGAACTGCCATGCTGTTTTTTCCAAGTGCATATACTCTTGTACTCCTGTATTCCTGCTGGGGACAAGGAAAGCCAGAAAGGGGGTGGTTACAGGTTACTGTAGCATTATCAACCTGGTGTCATCTGTGGCTGCATTAGGAGATTCAGGAAGCCATTGTGTGCTTCCCAGAGAACAGGTGTTAAAACCCCATTAGCAAGTGCAAGGTCCCCAGGGGTGGACCTCAGCTCATCAGAGAGACCAAGCAGATTCAGAAATGCTTCCGGAGAAATGGCTGGGACACGGATGTCACCAAACCACATGGCTGTGAGATCCAGCCTTTAGAAACCCCAACATTGAAAAGATGTAGAATATAGAATTCAAAATAGGAATGAACTCCAAAATAAGGGAAAGGAGATCCTAAAAGATATTCATTTTCCACATGGTGAGATTCTTCAGTGTTGTGTGTGTGTGTGTGTGTGTGTGTGTGTGTGAAACATCAAACACGAAATCCTTCCCCTCGATTCCTCAGGCAGCGTTCTTGAAGGTACCAGGCGTAGCAACCATCATTTGTTAAGCACTGACTCCAAGGCACACTGCTAGTCTCAATGGCACAGAGCCCATTTGTACCCCACTTTTGTAAGTGGGGAGACTGAGGCCACACAGCCAGGGGCCTGCCACTTCCGTCTCCTAGTCAGAGCCGGCTGTGCACAGGAGATGTTTGACTGACAGGAGGGAACAGTCAGGGATGAATGAATCAAAGGAACAGCAATATGAATCAAAGGAAAGCAGCTCCGTTTTGCAAGATATCTTGCAGCAGCGCTGAGGGGAGCGATAGCCATGTGCTTTGTTTGAACATCGCTTATCCATTGTGAGATGGAAGCTACCGATTTATCCCTGGCTCAGCCTCCTGACCTTGTGTGTGGCCACCTTGAAAGGCCAGCACTCGCTCACATGGCTCCCCGTTTCTTGAGTGTAGCCTGAGTGCCAGACACCGCTGGTGACACCGCGGGTGTGCAGTGGGCCTCTGGGGCATCATTAGATGTCTCTCCTACCTTTCAAAGTCTTTGGTGACTCATGCCCAGGATGCCTGAATGGTTTCCTGGCTGATCCCCAGGAGATGAACTGGCCGCGTACTTAATTGGCCTTAATCACGGCTGGGTGAGGAGATGCCTGCCACCTGCAGCGGTTACCCTGGGAGCACAGCTCTCAGCCCAGCAGGCAGGTCGCAGCCACTGACAGTTCAGCCCAGCGTGGGCTGGTCTAGGGCTCCTGAGCTGTAGGGATCAGTCTCCTTCAAGGGGACAATGTCCGTGAACGTGATTCCCAACCACAGAGGACACATTCAGCCTTGGCTGCAGGACACTGAAGTCAGAAGCCAGCCCGGGCTTCGTGACACTGCCTGGTACTCACCATCATTGCATCTCAGGCACTGTGCTGGGCACTGGGGACAGAGGCCAAGGTGATCCCACAGCCCCGCTCCAAGGGACAGTCTCATGGCACAGTTGGCTCTTAGGGTGTGTGGGGTCCCTTTTGGTCCCACTCCCTCCGGGCCACGTGAAGGGTTTGAAGCTGTCCGGTATCTGGGAAGAGTGCACACACTGGACGCAGAGCACACGCTGCCGGCTGACGAGGCACCGAGGGGCACAGAGGGGCACTGCCGAGTATGTTTGCGCCCACTCTGTCTCAGCTGGCTCACCTGAAACCCCTGCGGATATTATCTAGCTCGTGAGGACAGGGAGAGGTCCAGGAGCTCTGCTGAAACACCTGTGAGTGGCAGAGCCTGTTTCATAGACCCTGTGGACAGAGCAGGACCCTGAGGCTCAGGGGAGGGGAGGACAGGCCCTGGTCCCCACGTCTCTCAGCGCCGCTTTACGTGCTGCCCCCAAGTACGATGAGGACATGGGTTCTCAGTGGTTCCTTTGTGGGTTGAGGGCCCTTCCTCTGTCACTGCCTCGGTGTCCCCAGCACCAAAGTCCACTAAGAAGGAGAAGGGGGGTGGGGCGGGCCCTTGGCCTCCTCCCTGTCTCCCCACCCCCACACAGAGCCCATTGTCTGCCAACACAAGGGGCCGACTCAGGCCCAGTGCCACCCATTCACGGGCACAGGGCATCCATGGGGAGACCTGTGCCAGGCGTCCACCCTCCCACACGGCCGGCTTCGGGTGTGAGGCCTTTCACTTGTTTCCTACCCCGAAGGTGCCCAGGTGTGTGGCAGGACCTTGTAACCACAGACACGGGATCAGACGTGGCACTTGTGCAAACCTCTGGAATGAGCCCCAGTTCTAGAGAGAAAGAAGTTGCCTCCTTTGGAATTGGTCCAGATGAAAACAGCGAGCATCTGTATCTCAGCTTGGGGGGGGGCACCCCTTGTCTGCCGATAGGAACCTGCCGATAGGCTCAGCTTGTGGGTGCAACACAGAGACCCCCCCTCTTTCATAAGTCTTCCTGATTCCTCCCTCAGACCAGAGGTTCCCACAGCAGGAAGCCCCTGGCTGCCCAGTAGGCAGAAGACATGCAGAGCTCCTGGGTATGTGTGTGTGTGGGGGGGTGGGTGCCTTCTCCAGAAGCAAGGGGCACCCCCCTTTCCACTCTGCAGGACAGAAGCAGGTTGAGGACACAGCAGGCTGAATGGGGTTTCCTGCCTCCAGCCCAGGGCTGGGGGGTGGTGAGCAGAGTGCCAGGGAGGCAAGGCTGTGCTTGGCCTGCTTTGGGTCTTGCTCATTACCAACCCTCCCGAGGTCCTTCTGGAAGTTACAGGCTGCCTCCCAAACCCAGCCCAGAAGTCCCTTCCTGCTCCAGTCAGCGGAGCGTCTGGGCTCTCATTCACTGTAGACAGAAACTGTTGGCCCATGGAGATCCTAGCAGAAGATGGAACGAGTGTGCTACCAGGACTGTCTCAGGGCCCCCAGAGGGGCCTGAACTGTGTGGCAGACAAGGCTGGACACCTCGCTGGGCTTCACAGCCATGGCCCAGGGCCCCTGGTCCTATTCTCACTGCTGCTCCAGTGACCTCCAAACTTCCTCTCTGCCCTCAGCCACTTCTCAGCAACTATGCCATGTGTGCAGCACCCCTCAGACCCCCACCCTCTGTGTCGGAAGCATCTGACAGTGAGCTACCTATCGCCTCCCCGCCCTGCCCTCCTCCCAGCTTGGGCCCCAGCCTGGGGGTCCACATTCCCTTTGCTCCACAGCCAGGCCAGCAGCAGCCAAATCCTGTGTCTGCGCCCTCCAACGCCCTCTCCACGTGCCCGTCCTCTCACCCCTACCCCTCTCTCCCTGACTCCAGGCTTGCACTGGCTTTGCCCTGTGATAATGGTCACCCGGCCCCTCCTCCCTGGGGTACCGCCCCCGGCTGAGCGCAGTGATTATCCACACTGGCTTTGAATTAGAAGAACCTGGAGTTAAATTCCAGATCCTGACCTTGGGGAAATCATTTACTCTTTTAGATTTAATCTCAGTTCCTTCCACTGGAAATTGGGGGAAAGCAACAGAACCTCCTCCACAGGCTGGCACGCAGTAGACACCTCTCGGCTGCCCACTGCAGAGTGACCCTGGGCACTGGGGAAGCCACTTGGAGGAGGTGATATTTAGGCTGAGCCCTACAGGATGGGGGAAAAAGGTTGTCAGCCTATGCAAAGTCCTCTCTGGGTTGGCCTGGGCTAGCAAGGCAAGAGGCTGGGGG